CCCCCCCCCCCCCCAAAAAAAATTAAACATGCAACCAGGGCGAGTGATGCAGGTGCCCTCCCTCACTCCCACTGACTCACAACTGTTGGTTCGAGTATTTCACACACTTCCTGTTAAGAATCACACTGACTTAGGTTTAGCACCAGGTGACCGTTACTATTGGATATCAACCAAGAAGTGAAGACTGAAGACCTGCACGGCTGAGTCTTTGAGCATTGTCAACTTAATCTGCAGGGCTACACATGTGAGGTTTCTCAAATGGACGAGCTATAGATATATTTATAACTATGTATTTATATACTTTTCATCAATGGGAAATCTCATACAGGAGCTGACTACTGCAGTCCGCATTCATTTATCTATAACATTCACCTAATCTTTAGGACATATTCTCTTATATAGACAGTGATTTCTCAGTCAAACATACTTTGTGTTTTTCTCCGTTGTTTTAGCAATTTTTTTTTCCAAAGTTCGATTCGTCATGCACAAAATTGTCGTTCCTCCATCTTTTGTTTCTCTCCAGAACTTTTCATCATCATTTCGTCAGATTCATCACAGGTTGCTCACTCTGCGTCAGTCGTCGTCGCCTTCGGACTCGTCACCGGTTCTCCTCTCGTACATTTTATCCCGGTGCCTCTCCTGGATCTCTTTCATCTCCTCGGCGTAGCGGCTAAACGCTCCCCCGAACTTGCTCCAAGCCTTGAAGGGAATCGTTATAGAGTTCCTGTAACTGGTCTTCACTTCGCTAACCCGCAAGAACACTCCATACTTGTTGGATCCCACGTCAAAGAAGAACCGCTTGGAGTCCACTACGAAGGAGGTGCCCTCCGGAAGCTCGCTGTAACCTCCTGCGCCTCCGCTGCCGGCCAGGTCCTCCTCGTCTCCCCCGTAGTCGTCTATTAACTTCGCCAAAGCATCACGGAACTCTATTAAGCCTTGTGCAGGAAGTGCGATGGTTTGGACGGACTGCAGACCAGCTCCGGGCACACCACCTCCACCGACACCAAAACAGGGCCCACGGTTAACGGTCTGTCGGATCCGAAGAAACCGGCCCCGTTGGTTCTCCTTAAGGTCGAGGTAGTACTTGCGGTTCTCGCGCACCAGGAACTCGCTCTTCAAGGCCCGTCTAGGCCCAGTGTCATCTCCACCGGATGATTGAGCGATTTGCTCCGGGGTGCTAGGCCCAAGCTGGGCGTAGTGCTCTATGAAATCCCCCAGATAGTCACGGAACTCTGCCGCAACTGACATGGAGAGGGTCAGCCGACTTTTTGAGCCCCCGGCACCGACCTCGGCTATTTTTATGAACCGGCCTTTGGCGTTCTGCTTCACGTCAAGATAAAAGCGTTTGTTCTGAATGTCCAAACGCTTCGATGCCAGCTCCTGGGTCTCCGGTTCCCGCTGGTAGTGCTGGAAACCACCGCCGCCGCCGCGCTCGCTGCCACTATCCCCATCCGCCATCTTCGCTACCAGCAGCCCGTTTCTCTGCGTATCTTTGATTCCGTTTCCCCTCCCACCTCCGCATCGGTCCTGCGCTCGCAAAGGAAACGACACCGAATTCTACGTTGTGATTGGTCGTCGCAACAGTCAATCACAACATCGTGCGTGATTCTGACGTTTTCGTTTGTCAGTCTGCCTGTTCCTCAGCAGACGTAACTGCTAGTGATGGAAAGACCGACTCTTTTTATTGATTCGAATCTTTGACTCTCGAACAGTAAAATGAATGAGTCGTGAACGAATCTTGAACTAATCATTGCATTCGTTTTACAGCAGGTGGCGCTTTAGCCCTATTGTGGGCGTTGTAAAGAAGGCTGCGGTTCTCCGATACTAAATACTGAAGGCAACATGGTTTGCTTCCGCTGACAAAGTCTACAAAGTACACAAAATGCCATAAGTAATTAAAACCATGTGAAAAGCTAAGAAATAAAAACACACCACAATGAATGAGAGCAAAAAAGACCCGAGCTCTTTCACGTGACAAATGAAACGAATCTGCGAGAACGAGGCGAAAGATTAGTTCACAGCGAGAGATTAGTTCACGGCGAAAGATTAGTTCACAGCGAAAGATTAGTTCACAGAGAGTGATTCGTTTGCAATGAAAGATTAGTTCACAGTGAACGATTAGTTAATAGAGAGTGATTCGTTTGCAATGATAGATTAGTTCACAGTGAAAGATTAGTTTGCAGAGAGTAATTCGTTCGTAGTGAAAGATTAATTTGCAGAGAGTGATTTGTTCCCAGTGAGTGATTAGTTCGCAGAGTGTGATTAGTTCGCAGTGAGTGATTCGTGAGTTCAATATGAACAAATATTTAATATGACTCGGTAGTCACGAGTCATATGAAAGATTCGTTCATTTTGAACGAATCACTCGCGAACAACACATCACTAGTAACTGCCTTTGAAGTGACGGTAGAATGTACTGTATATGATATTTACAGCGGAGCTAATGAATCACTTCTAACGAACTAACACAGTGTTTAACTATTCACTGCGGTGTCTCACGTTTTATTCATACAGATAACCGTATACGGTTAGAGCAGGTATGTGTGTCACTTGACTAAAATGGAAGAGTAAGTCCATACACTGACCTCTTCATAATGCATTTTTACATTTTGGGCACAAGCGCGTGCTCACACGTACATAGTATGTACGTGTGAGCACTAGTGATGTGCGGATCGATCGTGAAATATCGATACTTCCGATTCTGGATCTTTATGCTCTGAAATCGATTCTGAAATCAAAATATCGATACTTTTGATACTTACGCATTCTGAGGTGAGGTGTATCCTAAACAGAAACATGGTGAAAAGTATCCAAATTATTGAGACGTTGTCTAAGTGACGCTTGGTTGGTGGGACTACTTCTTCT